TGAAAGGTCCTGTAGGGATCGCCGTGGTAGGCATACTTTTCGGGCAGGCAGGTCTGAAATGGGGCACCGTGTTTGAGGCCTTCTTCGCCGTATTGGTCATACTTAGCCCGAAGCTGAGGGTCAATCAGCACTTCGTAGGCCTCGGAGATCCAGAAGAACTTCTCGTAGGTGTCCGGCTTCCCCCGATTGCGCTGGGGGTGATACTTTAAGGCCAGGCGTCGGTACCTAAAAGCAGTCATTTTGTCGAATAAGAACCTACGCCCTGTGAATGTCATCCTGGCTCGCGTCAGCATTAATGGCCAACAGGTAGTAGTAGTCGGCACCCATTTTCAGGGCCTAGGAAGTGAACTTCCGCTGAAAAAAAGAAACAAATGATATGAGAAAATAATTTGAGGATTAGTACATTTGGACTAAAATTAAGCCCTTTTTGTCGAAGTTATTCGGTTCAGAAAAAGAAAACACTAGTTCTTGACTGAGTAGTTATCAGGAATTGTTAATAAGTTGAGTTTGAAACATCAGTTTGAAATCACTATGAAACATCGACTTTCATTTCTTATTTCCTCTGTATTACAGGCAACAAAGAAGAGATTTTATCTTAGTTTACAAGACAATACACGGCCTCGAGAAAGGATTGCGCTTTGAGGACATATTTTAATGGCAACTCTCGCCTCATCTCCGTGGATACACGATGAAGCTGCGCACGAAGTTGTCCAAGCTTAATCTTCGCCCTCAATTCTTCACGCAACGGGCAACACAACAGTGGAATAACCTCCCGCAATCAGTCGTGGAGGCTTAATCCCTACAGCTGTTCAAATAACGCTTAGATAGTTCAGTTCAGTATATTTAGGGTAGTAGGCAATGCCTTTGAAGACCCTATTGAGAACAATATGCATGAAATATCCAACATAAAATATGTCACTAATAAATCAGTGAGTAACATATATACATGTACAAATTTTAACGTGTGCGTGAGGGCAGTTATGTACAAATTTGGCCGCAGGTGTGTTAACGTGGCGTGAGATGGGCTCTTTTGTGCATAATATTCCAACATAAAATATCTTACTATAAAATAGTGAGTAGCATATACATATGTAAAGTTTTATCTATAGGTTGGTGCACGGTTAGATAAGTATATGTGTCCCCTGTTGTCTCTCAACTGTATGAACTCGACCTAACACCACACACCCATGGCAAGAGAGTTATTTATAAGAACAATGCTACTCACTGTTTGTCAATATTATTTTAATTGTGAACATTTCACGCGTGCGCCATGTAATCAATAGGGTTTTCAAAGGCATTGCCTATTACCCTCACGAAATAAACTGAACTGAATTAACGCATGGAACACGATGTCAGTCACGCTTTCCTCTTGTCGTAGAAAATTTTGGAGGGATAAGTTCAAAATAAGACGTATCTGCCTCTCTCATTTTGACCAAAAATGGGACTCCAGTGTTGACCAAAATCTTTGTCCATCAGACGTTTCGTATACACGCTTAAATATATCATCAAAGTCAGCAACAGATGCAAAGTAATGTGAGCATGGAGGATGCAGTCGCTTTGAAACCGCATTTTCTAAATAAACAGCTTCTTGTAGTGCTCGCTCGGTACTTGTTGCGATAACAAGCTGGCTGTCCACAACCGAGTCATCAAGTACCGCGATTTCATGGCCGTTTTTATTAATGGCATGTTAACCCCTTTGAACGTCTGTTTCATGACTACTGGCAGTGAAGGCATAGCTTCCCCGCGCGCTTCTTGCGCAAATAATTACTCGGCCAAGGCAAACACTTTGCACAGAACATGAAAGTGATTCGTTATTACGTTTTCTGATGGAATGCAGGCTGAAGAACCATGGCCCAAACCAATTTTGACTCACAAAACTGTCGCCTCGCACATGAATTTCGATGTTGTGCGGTCGGGTCCCGCTGAATCAGAAGGTGCTATCATGCCTTTTCGCAATCTCTATGGCTATAACTGCGTCATATCGAGCAATCGACTACGATCTTTGTGCAGCTGATAACTCCCAAGCAATTCTGGCCATGCATACTTTTGTTGTGATCCGAAGTTAATGGGCGCATATGGAAAACTGCAGTGTATGATGCAAAGCACGCTCATTTGACAGTAATCTGGGATCTCGGTTTCACAATATTCCCTCCCTAACAATCAATCTCGAGCGCTTTTCAACAAGAACTACAATAAGTCTACGAGGTCGTGCAAAGGCCATGACGAAATTTAACTTGGGGATAAGTAAGAAAATTTTATTTTTCTTCACAAACAGTTAGTACTTCATATATTTATTTTGAGTAAAAAAGTTACAGAAGATAAACTGTCGAAGGCCAAATAAAGGGTATCAACAGTTCCATTCTAGCGCACCTGGTAGACTCAGATTATCGCGTGGATGCCAAAGAGGCCTTCAAGCTATTCAAAATTCCTTGGACAGCGGCTATTGGTACGGCAGAAGCGGCCGCCATCAGGCTATGCCTACCGGTCCTGTGCGCCCAAAAGAACTTTGTCACGGCGCCGCAGTCAAAAAGCCGCTAATCCAACAGCCAACAGCTTATCACCTCGCCCGACTACCGGTTTCCCCTAACGCTGATCAGATTTTTGACCCCGATTTCCCCCTCCTCCTCCTCTGACAACCGCACTGTTTTATTCTACCAAACCCCATAGTTTATTTAATTAATTACCATATACATGTAAAGGCTTGACGAGAATTTATTGAAAACAAACGTATGTTCGCCAATTTATCTTCTGAAATTTTCGATGGGAATTTTCCAAATTTAAAAAAAATTGCCTAAGGTTGTTCATTATTATTTCCAGGTTTTCGTGCATGCGTTGATGCCAGTTTGCGAGCGATTCTCACTATTTTGCAAAATTCGGAATTTTGCCTGACTGCGAGCGAGTATCAATTACCGTACTGTTACCTGCACTGTTACCGTATTTTATTATACTATTGGTTGATATCCACTTTCGGCTGAATTCGTAAAGTTAACGGATATCCCCTATATTTAACTCCACTGACAGAAAATCCGATGCGATTTCTGACTTAGCAGGTCCTTCAAATTCAGACATTATGGTCAGGGCTTCATGTTTGCTTTTGAAGTTTGCTCTGTATCAATGCGTTTGCCCTCCTCTATTCCCGACTGCACCAAAAGAATTGTACTCTCTGTAAACCTTTGTTCCAGTCCCTTCTAAATTTAACTTTCACTCAAAGAAAGTGACGACGCGACATTGTTTCACCAACTGTTTTGCCAAATTAACCATGTTTTTCTAGTATCTGGGTATTTTTTCCCTTCCACACATTATCAGTGAGCCAAATTCGATACTTTAAGGAAGGACTGTGATGCGACATCCTAGATTGTTGGAGTTAGGACTCGTGCTCCCTGTTAACCTGAAGGAGACAACGGTGGTTGGTAGCATGCACTCTTAAATCTAAGGTCACGGACTTGAGCTTCTTATATCGAGTTACATTTGCTCGTTTTCAACATGGTTTTGACGGTAATGTCATGTCAACTGGCAACTAGAGCTTCCTATATTAAGTTGGAGCATCTAATATGCTGGCCTTGCTGAACAGAGAATGGTCTGTTTCTTAAGTGAAACCAACGAAAGAACTATAAACGAACAACCACCTCGGGGTAGAGTAGCAGAGGTTCGACCACTTGATCGTACAGGACAAAATATAGGAGAACCAGAGGATAAATGATGGCATCACATCTGCTTCAACTGCGACAAAATTTTCCTCTTCAATCACAAACGATCTTTACAGACGTCTCCTTCTTCACCCTTCATTTTTATTTTTTTATTTATACTAGCCGCCCCAAAGCAGAGCGGAACGAGTGTGTTCCGTTAGCGATTGGTAAACGTCCATCACTGAGTGTTCGGAACGTATATACGACAAACTGTGATATTATTATTCGGTTGGAGGTAGTCTTCATGCCTATGTCCGAGTCCCTCGTATTAAAGCTTCTTTCGAGGAACCACCTCCATAGGAGTCAGTTCATGGTACCCTACATAGTACTGGTATGGAGGATATGTTTGGGGACATGTTGACGCTGAAACCATTTTTATTAGCCATCTTCTGTAACAATAACTTCCCTATGACTGGCAAAGGCGTGCAAAGACCACGAAATCTGAGAGCATGACCACACTGGACCAATCTCTTTGAGGACAAATGATCACAGAAATAACAAATCATTCATGTTAAATTATGTCTAAAACACTCACGTAAACGTTTGCTGATCTAGTGATTTTTTTAAGTCACGTTTTCTTTTTGTAAGACGTTTCACGATTACATGCTGACTAGTGAGCTGTACCGAGGAGGTTTGTGTGTCCGCTCCTCAGAAATGCACAGATTAACTTGATTTTCATGTATCCGTGTTGCTGAGGGATTTTATTTCATTTCATTTTGATATTGGTCACCCTGTGGAACCAAGAACATTCTTTCAAGTACTTTTGGGCACATTATGCTACCTTGAGGTGGCCTATGTATACGGTGGGTGAAACCCAACTGATGTCAACACTTTGACCACGTGGAGTAAAGGTGTTCTTTTTACAAACAATACATACGATTTCTTATTTGCAAAATACTTTTTGACTTTATTTGCGCGTAAGATCTTACCAAATTCTATTACTTCTGCATGCCTTAGTCAAGAAATAATCAAGTGCCCGTAAAATATTTAATTTCTGTGACAACATAATAAAGAAAGTATTCGCATAAATGTCAAAAAATATGCTCTATCGATTGTCACCTGGTGCTCTTTGAGTGGTTATAAAGGGGTTCTGTACATGTTAACTGGGTTTGCAGTTTCGCTTAAGTAAGCTTAATGACAGTTTTGGGTTCGCATTTATGGAGGGTCAATACATATCTTGCCTATAGGCATCATGAGTAACTTACTTGTCGAATCTACCATGGGAGAGTGGTACTCGTTTCAAGTGAAACTTAAGTATAAGAAATTTTTATCTGAACCGACCTCAATATTTATAAAACAGGGTACTGAATGTCTGCGGGTGCATACTACTAGGAGTTTCAATTAAGTTGTATTGATCCAAATCGTTTAATTTTGACGATGCTCGAATGAAACATTGTGGAATCTGTTCATACACCTTTTCTATTGCAGTCGAATAAAGTACTTCGAATACTCCAGTTAAGATGCCCGAAGTCAATACCCTGGAAGCGTTTCACGAATAACCATAGTCATGACATTTTATGGGTGTACATGTTTAAGCGACTAAAAGCCTGAAAATAAACCAATCAAAATTATTATGAGACAAGAAAACTAGCCACTACTACGGAGCCATTACATTTTAATGCAAGAAATAGTAAAAATCTC